CTTAGTAGGTATCAAAAATCCTATATGGGGACCTATAATTTTTCACTCATTTAAAATGAATGAGGTCCCATATAATACCCCCCCCCCCCCCCCAAAAAAATTAATTTTATTTGTGAGATATTCTATTTCAATAAACATTTTTTTATCTTTCAAAAGTTGCTTAAATTGATAAAAACATTTAAGTTTTAATAAAATAGATGATTATTGAATTTATTATTCATTGAATTTTTATGTTTTTTAATTAAATATCCTAAATTTGATTATTCTTCATAAATCTAAAATTATGATAAATATTCTTTCATGTTTGTTTCATTCTTTATAAATGAACACAAATTTTTATCTATAATAAAAAATGGCTAACGAATATCGAAATTAATCTATTTAAAGTAAAAATTTTAATTTAAATTATAAATAAATAAATTGAATTTCTTTCTATAATTTTATCTTTTTATATCAGCTTTCTATTTTAAAAGCGTATTGTAAATGAAAATAATTAATAACCAAAATACTATTATTATTAATATTAACAATACTTTTATTATTATTAATACATGTAAATATTCTTTTAAAATAAATGGAAATTTTAATCAAATAAATGATGATTATTATATATTGTTAAAAAAGGAGTTTAAACTAGACCAAATAATGAAAAAAAATAAAAGGGTTTTAGTTTTTAATAATAAAAGTGTTTTAGTTTTTAATAAAATAGCTGATTGATAAAGTATAGATTATTTTTGGAAAATTAAATAAAATTTTTTTATAATGTATGAGCAAGTATGTATGTAGTATTAGTATTTATAAAATTAATTGTAAATATTATTATTATTATTAATTTAATAATCATCAAAATAATTAATATTAAGCTGCTAATTTAGTAGTAATTTAGTAAATAAAGATATTAACTTAAACTAAAAATTTTTATTCTGAAAATATGTATGTACCTGTTTAGTATATTGTAGATTATTCTAACACCCCAGAAGCTAGGCTAAAGAAAAATTATTAATAGTATTGCCTCTACTTAAAGCCTGCGGATACGGATTATAGTAGTTCATTTGAAATTCAAGAAAATAGGGGATTCTTTCCTGAAAAATTATACATTTTTGTAGAAGCATTTCATGAAAAGTATAAAGAAGTTTATGAATTTCTTATTAAAATAGCTGAGCCTGTAAACAAACCAAATTTCATCCATGTGTATAAAATAACTCTGTTTTCTATGTATACTGCAATGAGTTTGAATTTAAATGCAGAAAAGATCATCGAAAGCTTGATGTAGTACTCTAAAAATGAGGTGATTCCTAAAAGTTTTATTGAATTTATAGAAAACAAAACTAAAAAAGCCGGGTCTGCTTATCTTTATATTATTAAAAAGAATTATTATCTCAAAATTCATTAAGATTTTCTTGAAAAAATCATCCGTATTGATGTAAGCAATTTAATTCCATCTTGTTTTTATTTCCATTACTGATTTTAATCCAAATTATTAATTAATTAATTATTGTAAAAATAGGAGGAACCTTATAGAATATAATAGAAATGGAATAAAATCCTCCTTAGTAATTGCTTTAAACATAAGAGGAGTCAAGAGTTTGGAATTTCAAATTCTACAGAATCAAATAAAAACACAATTTGTTCCAAATCACTGAGAAAATTATAAAAGAAGGAATTTCATTAATTAACGAATATCATGATGATAAAGAAAGTCAAAATGATCTAAGTAGTAATGCCTAAATACCATATAAAATGTTAGATATTAAGCTTAAGTAAACCACTCAGCCAAGAATATACCAACAAAAAGCACTTAAAAATATATTCGTTTGTGAAAAACCTAGAAGTGCTACTATTGTTCTTCCATGCGGTAATTAAATAATCACTCTATCTATTACTTTTATTTTTCCATTAAAATATAAGCATCTAATTACTATTAAAAATAATTGGTTTTTAGACACTTTTAAAAAATAAAATTGTTTTTTTAATATTAAATTATTCTAATTTGAATAGGCGCTGGAAAGACATTGTTGGGCATCATATTAACTGAAAGAATAAAGGGAAATACTATTGTTATATGCGATATATATACAGCTACTAATCAATGGAAGAATGAATTTACAAAATGGACAACAGTTGAAGATGATACAATTAAAATTTATACTGGTAAAACTAAGAATTTGCAAGTAGAGCAAACAAAACCTTTTATACTGATTACTACATTTAAGCAACTCTCTAGTATTATCAAATCAAATAAACTTCAAAAAGAAAAGAGATAATATATGGATAAGTCATCAGAATTAGAAACCAATATGAATCATTACATTTAAAAAGAAATGGTAATTAATTAATTTATTCACAAAAATGTTTTCAATTATTTAAACTTGATTTAATGTAATAGGAATGGGATTTGTGCATAGTTGATGAAACCCAATACTCAGCTGCTTCTACATATAAAAAAATATTCGAGGAATTCAATTTTAAATTGAAGATAGGATTAACTGCAACTCCGTACCGTACAGAGAAGATAATAAAATAGATGATCTTTTCCACGTTATTGGTCCAAAACTTTATGAAGCGAATATATCAGAGCTAATTTAGGACAGCTATTTAGCTAAGCCATATTGTGTTGTATTTCGTTGTAAAATGCATGAATGTTGCGAAGTAAACTTAATTTTAAAAAAACATTTATTGCTCTTCAATTTTTATTATTAAAAAATTATAAAAAAATAATCAAATTCTATTTTCTCTAATAAATAAAACTAATTGCTTAACATTTATTTATTATATTACAATAGGATTTTATGAAAGACAGAAAATTTAAAAACAAGCCTTCTTTGTAGTCTGGAAATCCACAAAAATTTAAACTTTTGTATTACTTAATTAAGTTCCACGAATCTAGAAATGATAAGATTTTAGTCTTTTGTGATTAGATTCCTGTACTCAAATACTACTCCTAAAAAATGGGTTATCCTGCAATTTATGGTGAGGTAGATTTGCTAGAAAAGCTAGGTTGGTTGGATTTATTTAGAGAGGGAGAAATTAATACATTATTTTTGAGTCGCGTTGGTGATACCGCACTTGATCTACCTATTGCAAATGTGTGTATATAAATAGGATTTTAATTTGGTTCAAGAAGATAAGAAGTTTAAAGACTTGGTAGAATTATGAGAAGAAAAGAAGGATAAAAAGGAGAATATAATGCTTTCTTTTATACTATTGTCTCTAAAAACACAGAGTAGGCTTAGTTCTATTACAGAAGATAAAAATCTTTAATGGATCTAGGTATTAATTTTGAAGTAATAGATATAGATGAACAGAATGATAATAAATTTAAATATGATCCAGATATCCTAGATAAAAAAATTATAAGAGCTAGTGATGAAATAATAAAAGATGTAAAAAAAGATGCTTGGTTTCTTATTTAAGATGAGCCTGATAAAAAAGTAGATGAATAAGATGATGATTGAGCGAAAGAAAATTTCAAAAATCTAAATCTTATTTATAAAACTTTAACCCTTTTAATATTTTATAAAATGTTAATTAAATATATAATAAAACAAACTATATGTTATTTGTTAAATAAAATGAATTTCATTCATTTCATAATTTAATTAACTAAAATCTAAATTTAAATTATATTTAACTGATTGCTTAATACAAAATTACTTAATCAAATTTTATTTTTATTAATAAATATAGTAAAGAAGAGAATATACAATAAAATGGAGCATTTTAGGGCCAATAGGTAATTTCTTTTTCTATTTTACTTTTTATTTTTTTTTAAGAACATTAATTAACTACTAGAGTTTTTTCAAATAATACTAACTGGCCTTCTCTAATTCCTACTATATATATTTTTAATTATATGTTTTAAATACAAATATTAAGATTAAATCATGAATTTTAAATTACTATTTCTGTGATATCTCTTCATAAAACAAAATTAATAAATTGATATTTGATAATTAATTATTATATTTTATTTATTCTTTTTATCCATTTATAATTAATTAATTAAATTTCATAAATTGCTATTCAATATTATTGAGAAGAAAAAAATGATAAAATAATTTAAAGAATATTACAAATTAAAATAAGTAATTATTAATTTTTTTATTAATATCCTTTAAATTTAAATATATTATTAAAAAAAGTTTTTAAGCTCTTCACTTGAATCTCATTAGGTTCTCCATATTTATCTTAGGTATATTTAATTTCTAAATATTATTTTGATTAAGATTTATATTTTATATTTATTTAACTTTCAATTTATTTAAATAAAAAATTTTTGTTATAGAAATAAATTATCATCATTGTTCATTGATTTTTTTTTAAACAAAAATTTTTTAGCTATTTTAGCTTAATTTTAATTTCAATTTTTAATTATTTTTTATTATTTGATATTTTTTCTTCATTTTTTTCTATTAAAACCTACACTCAATAAAAGCAGTTTATTAGTTTTGGATTGTAATATTTTTAATTATAAAAGTTAATTTAAAACATTAAAGCTCTTTTAATTTATTTGATTTATTTTCCTTTTTCTTTTATTATGATTTTTTTTTTTTTCATTCTTTGTTAATTTTATAAATTTTTATCTAATCTTATTATTTCATATTTTTTCTTCATTTTTTCCTTCTAATTAACTAGAGTGAAATGCCTATTTAATTTATAAAAGGCGAAATATAATATATTTTAATAACATAATAAAGCTAAATTAGCTTAAAGCAGCTTTATTTTTGAGTTTTTAAATGTAAAAATTCTGAAAAAATATTTTAAATTTTTATTTTTTATAATGTAAAAACTGGATAATAAAACTTGCTTTTTGTAAATTTGTATGGCAACTTACTCAATTTAATATTATATTTTTTCTTCAATATTTAAAAAGATACAATTAAATTGGTGATGAAGGTACATCAGGCTTAGGTTCTGCTTTAGTAAATTGCATTAATCTCTCAAATTTGACACTTGACCTTGAGTAAAAACAGTTTATTTGCTTTGGATTATGATATTTTTATTTATAAAAAAAAACTAATAAAAACAATAAAGCTCTTTTTTCTTTTTATTGTGCTTGCTTTTTTTTTCTTTATTTGTTAATTTAACTCATAATTTTATTTTCAACTTTAGCTTTTATTATTAATTAATTAATTTTATTATTTCATATTTTTTCTTCATTTCTTCCTTCTAATTAACTATTTAATTAAATATTTTTTCTTCAATATTAAAAAAGATAAAATTCAATTGGTAATGAAGGTGTATCAGGCTTAGGTTCTGGTTTAGCAAACTGCATTAATCTCTCAAATTTGAACCTTGACATTTCGTAAAAACAGTTTATTTGTTTTGGATTGTGATATTTTTAATTATGAAAACTAATTGAAAACAATAAAGATTTTTTTTCTTTTTTTTTATTGTTCTTGATTTTTTTTTGTACTTTCTTTGTTAATTTAACTCATCATTTTATTTTAAAATTTTTCTTTTATTATTAATTAATCTTATTATTTCATATTTTTTCTTCATTTTTTCCTTCTAATTAACTATTTAATTATATATTTTTTCTTCAATATTTAAAAAGATAAAATTCAATTGGTGATGAAGGTATATCAGGCTTAGGTTCTGGTTTAGCAAACTGCATTAATCTCTCAAATTTGACACTTAAAATTTCGTAAAAACAGTTTATTTGTTTTGGATTGTGATATTTTTAATTATAAAAACTAATTAAAAACAATAAAGCTCTTTTTTCTTTTTCCTTTTATTGTTCTTACTTTTTTTGTTCTTTCTTTGTTAATTTAACTCATCATTTTATTTTCTACTTTTTCTTTTATTATTAATTAATCTTATTATTTCATATTTTTTCTTTATTTTTTCCTTCTAATTAACTATTTAATTATATATTTTTTCTTCAATATTTAAAAAGATAAAATTAAATTGGTGCAAAGGGTGCATCAGGCTTAGGTTCTGGTTTAGTAAACTGCATTAATCTCTCAAATTTGACACTTAACCTTTCGTAAAAACAGTTTATTTGTTTTTGATTGTGATATTTTTAATTATAAAAACTAATTAAAAAAAATAAAGCTCAATTTTCTTTGTCTTTATCTTTTTCTTGTGCTTGTTTTTTTTAGCTATTTAATGATATATTTTTTATTCAATGTTTAAAAAGTAGCAATAAAATTGATGATCAAGGTGTATCAGGCTTATGTTTTGGTTTAGCAAATTGCATTAATCTCTCAAATTTGATACTTAATCTTAAGTAAAAACAGTATATTTGTTTTAGATTGTGATATTTTTAATTATAAAAACTAATTAAAAACAATAGAGCTCTATTTTCTTTTTTTTTTATTCTTTCTTTGTTAATTTAACTCATTATTTTATTTTCAACTTTTGCTTTTATTATTAAATAATCAATTCTATTATTTCATATTATTTCTTCATTTTTTCTTTCTAATTAACTATTTAATTATTTATTCTATCTTCAATATTTAAAAAGTCGCAATTAAATTGGTGATGAAGCTCCATCAGTCTTAGGTTGTACTTTAGCAAATTGCATTAATCTCTCAAATTTGACACTTTTGCTAGGGTAAAAACAGTTTATTTATTTTGGATTGTGATATTTTTAATTATAAAAACTAATTAAAAGCAATAAAGCTCTTTTTTCTTTTTATTGTGCTTTCTTTTTTGTTTGTTTTTTCTTTGTTAATTTAACTCATCATTTTATTTTCAATTTTTACTTTTATTATTATTAATTAATCATATTATTTCATATTTTTTCTTCATTTTTTCCTTGTAATTAACTATTTAATGATATATTTTTTCTTCAATATTTAAAAAGATATAATTAAATTGGTGCAATTGGTTCGTCAGGCTTAGGTTCTGCTTTAGCAAATTGCATTAATCTCTCAAAATTGACACTTCATCTTTAGTAAAAACAGTTTATTTGTTTTTGATTGTGATATTTTTAATTATAAAAACTAATTAAAAAAAATAGAGCTATTTTTGTTTTCTTTTTATTGTGCTTACTTTTTTTAATTCTTTCTTTGTTAATTTAACTCATTATTTTATTTTCAACTTTTTCTTTTATTATTAATTAATACTATTATTTCATATTTTTTCTTCATTTTTTCCTTCTAATTAAATATTTAATTTTACATTTTTTCTTCAATATTTAAAAAGTTGGAATAAAATTGGTGATGAGGGTGCATCAGGCTTAGTTTCTGGTTTGGCAAATTGCATTAATCTCTCAAATTTGACACTTGACCTTACGTAAAAACAGTTTATTTGTTTTGGATTTTGATATTTTAAATTATAAAAACTAATTAAAAGCAATAAAGCTCTTTTTTGTTTTTTTTTGTTTTTTCTTTGTTAATTTAACTCATAATTTTATTTTCAACTTTTACTTTTATTATTATTAATTAATCTTATTATTTCATATTTTTTTTCATTATTTCCTTCTAATTAACTATTTAATGATATATTTTTTCTTCAATACTTAAAAAGATACAATTCAATTGGTGTAATGGGTGCATCAGGCTTAGGTTCTGGTTTAGCAAACTGCATTAATCTCTCAAATTTGAAACTTACCCTTTCGTAAAAACAGTTTATTTATTTTGGATTGTGATATTTTAAACAATAAATATGAATATAAAACAAAATAGCTCTTAGAATTTTTTTGATAGCTTTTGTTTGATTTATTGTTTTATATTTTTTATTCCACTAATACTAATGATATTTTATTTATTAATTTAAGAAATAATTTTTAATTTAAAAGTTTATTCTATTTTGATATTTATTTAAAATTTACACATATTTATTATAAAATTTCTAGCTCATTGAATTAATCATAAAAATTCAAAGTAATAAGCAAGTGCCATAAATCAAAAAGATTGGTTGTATTTAAAAAAGAATTCAGGTGATAAACAAATGGCGAAAAAATGATGAATAAATATTTAATATTTTAATAATTGAAAATTATATGTTTTTTTATTATATTATATTTTGAAAATGTTTTTATAGCCTAATATATAAATAGATAGATAGATTTTATTATTGATTTTATATTTATATCATTCATATTTTTGTGAGTAATTAATTATTTATAAAAAATAATTTGTATTTAAAATTCCTTAAGCATTTAATAGCTGTGCTTGTAAAAAATGAAGACGATTTCAGCATACTTTTCTATTTTATACTTTATTTTCAACACATTCATCATTTATTATTTTCATAGGAAGAATTGCCTTGGTGCAGATGGAGCTAAAAATATTAGATTGAGCTTAGAAAAGTGCCAAAATATAACATCTTTGGATCTTAGTCTTTCATAATTTAACTTACTATCAATTTATTTAGTTTGTTTTAATTAATATATTAGTGAAATTTAAACTTAAATAAATGAGTTTCTAAAACTAACTAATTGATTTATTGATTGAAAACTAACTCATAAATTGTTTTTTGGTTTTTGTTTAATATTTTTGCATCTAAATTTATTTGTTTATGAATTGAAACACCTTCCCATTTAATTGCATATAAATAGATAAGCACTTTTTAATATGTTTATCAAAATTATCCATTAACAAATATATTAATTACTTTTCTATTTTCTATTTTATTTTCAACAAATTCATTATTTATTATTTTCATAGGAACAATGACCCTGGTTCAGATGGAGCTAAAATCATTTGAATGAGCTTGGAAAAGTTCCAAAATATAACATCTTTGAATCTCAACCTTTGGTAATTTAACTAACTATCAATTTAGTAAGTTTTTTTTAATTAATAAATTTGTGAAATTTAAACTTAATAACAAATGGATTTGGAAAATTAATTAATTCATTAATAGACAACTAACTCATAAATTTTTTTTAGGGTTTTATTTAATTTTTATGCATCTAAATTTATTTGTTTATGAATTTTAAAACCTTCCCATTTAATTTCATATAAATTAAAAAATAAACACTTTTTAAATCTGTTTATAAAAATGATTCATTAACTCATTTATTAGTTACTTTTTTATTTTATTTTCATTATTGTTAATTAATACATTATTAATAATTTTTATAGATAATGGTCTGGTATACAAGTTAAAAAATAAAATTGATAACTGAAATAAATTTTAAAATATTAGAATGTATTAATATATTTATTTAAAAATAAATATTAATAAATTAATTCAACTAATCAAAATAACTTTTATGTAAAAAATTAATACTTTAGATGTAATAATTGTATCATATTAATAGATATAGCAAAATGCCATTCAAAAATTTCGTCGTTTGTAAACGACTATATTAGTGAATGGCATTTAATTACATACATTCGTTTTTAATTAATTAATTGTTTAGCTTAGCTAAGCTAAGTAGAAATAAGAAAATTCAAAAAAGTAATTAAATCTAATTGAATAAAAATATATAATATATAATGAGACAACTACCCCACTGGGCATGCATAAAACTTTTTAGATTGGTTCCGGGGCCGGATACTTAAATTTTTATACCTTTCAATTTTTTGGAAATAAAGTCAAAATAAATGAAAATTTATGGTATTTATAATTAGATAAAAAATACTGATGATAAGAGCTAAAATTGAAAAAATGTTTATGCCCAAAATAATTTAAAAATTTTGTAATTAATCAATCATATTTAATTATAAAAATATTTAAAAACTTATAAAAATTGACTGAAGATTAATGACAAAATAAAATCAAGCTTTCATAATAAAATCTCATAAAATTATTTGACAAATTACCAAAGACATCTGAATAAATACTAAAAAATATATGTTATTCGTAATGCTTTTATATGATGTAATATTTTAAATTCTTTCTCTATACTTCTATATTAATTATATAATTTTTATTCAAAATTTTATTTAATATTTGTTTTTTAAGAAATACTAAATTAATTATTACAAAAATATATTATATAAGAAATATAAATATTAAATTTAATCAGATTAACAAGAAAATGAATGCAAATAGTGTGCTAAATAAAACAATTGAGCTATAAATTGTAGATTCACATTTAATCAATTCATCAAAAAATACTTGAACATAAGGGTTAGTTGGCTTGCAATTATTTTTAACGCAATTAAAAGTTTGAGGCTATTTATTTTAGTTTTAACCTTTGCAATTAAGAGAACAATTATCTAAAGATTTAAGATCTCTAAGACAATCTGTATCACTTTATTTGCAAATTTAATTAGTTTTTGCTTTGTATAATAGATCGTATACACATTATGGTACATCATCTTGATTTGCATTAACAGTTGTAATAGCAACAATAATAAGCAATAATCCAATCAATTTCATTTCGATATTAAACTTTTACTTTTATTTAAATTTAACTTTTTAATTTAATTATACAAATTTTATATTCATTTCCTTTCAACTTTTAAACCACCACTATTTAATTTAATAGATTTTCTTTTAGCTTGGTTTGTAATACAAGAGATTTGATCTATCTCATATAGAAAAAAGTTTTATTAAAAATGTCTAACTTTATTTAAAAAAAGAAAATATATCTTACTCAATATCCAAATTTCTATTTAATTAACTTAAAACAATTAAAATGGTAAATATAAATAGATAAGTTTTAGAAAGATCACTTACATACTTACTTCTAAAAATTTAGCTAAGAACTTTAAAAGTAGATATTGCTATTTAACTTGTATAATGTTAATAAAAAATAAGCTTATTAATTATTAATAGGCTCCTGATCAAGGAAATTCTTTTTAAAAGATAATCACGATCATATTATAATTAATGTAACATTAATTTAATCATAAAAAAAAATTTAATAATCTTTATTTTTTTTTCTAAATAATTTAATATAGGCAAATTATTTATCATGTAAACAATCTGATCATTGAAAAAAATTTATTTGATTAAGACAAAATTAAAAATTCTTTCTAAAAGGTTAAAAGGTGAGATTCTATATTATTGACCACATTATAATTAATGTAACATTAATTTAACCATGCAAAAAAAATTGTTTTGATCATTTATTTGTTTTCAAAATAATTAGTTATAGATAATTAATTTTTTATGCAAAGCAATCTGGCAATCAATATATTTTTAACTAAGATAAAATTAAAAATTCTTTGTGAAAGGTGAGATCATTCATTTATAATTTTGAACAAATATTTTTTAAGATCATTTACTTTTAAAATAAAATATTTTAAACTAAAAATTATTTTAATTTTTGCTTTAATTTTGAGTTTTTTAAGAAGTAAAAGTTATTTTAAATATTTAGAAATATATAAAGAAAAACAATACAACTTCAACTATCTATAAATACTTAATAAGAATTAGTAAAATTCACTTTATTCACATTTTATTTACATGGATTAATTTATAAAACTTGATTTTAATCTCAAACCCTGTTATTTGGAAATAAATTATAAAATCATTTGTCTTAAAAATGAATATACTTAAACTAATTATATTAAAATAGAGAAAAATGAATAAATAATATTTGGAGGTTATATCCCTTCAAAATAAAACAAAATACTCACACAAATTTTTATTCAAATTATTTTTAAATAAATCTATTTCTAAATTAAAATTTTTAATTTTAGTTAAGTTTAACTCAATTTTTATTTAGAGTTAATTTCTATCTTTGATATTATTATGTATTCATTTGTAAATATACTTTCAGGTATGGTAATAATTCAATAATCATTTGATAAATCTAAAAAAATTAAAATTTTTTGATATCTATAGAAAATTATATATCAAACGTACTGAGCAGGTTCTGCATAACATATGTTATTTGAATGTTTATATTATATATTTTTAAAATTATTTCTTCCCAATATGAATATTATTTATAATATTTATATATTTTGTATTCAAAATTTTATTAAAAATATATTTATATTAAATTGGATTTTAATACAAAAATCTATTATAAAAGAAATACAAAAAAATAAGCTTATAATCAGATTAATAAGAAAATTAATTCAAATAGTATGCTAAATAAAGCAATAGAGCTATAAGCTGTAGATTAACATTTAACCAATTCATCAAAATATGCTTAACCTGTAGGATTTGTAGGTCTGCAGTTACTTTTAACACAATTAAATGTCTGAGGACTTTTATTTAAGTTTTAATCCATTCAATTAAGAGTAAAATGATCTAAAGATAAAACACCATTAATACAATCTGTATCACCTTATTAGCAAATTTAATTGTTTTTTGCTTTGTTAAGTAGATCATGCATACATTGTGGTACTTCTTGACTTGCTTTAACAGTTGTAATAGCAATAATAAGCAATAATGCAATCAATTTCATTTTGGTAAATAATTTCTAATAACTTTACTATTAATATATTATTAATTTAATAATGTAAAAAAATTATTTCACTATTTATTTCTTTTCTAAATAATTTGATTTGATATAGATAATTTATTTATCAAAAAAGCAATCTGATCATCCAAAATATTTAATTAAGACAAAATTAAAAATTACTTGTGAAACGAGAGATCACTCATTCATAATTTTGAACAAATTTTTTTGATATATTTTACTTTTAAATTTAACATTTTTATACTAAAAATTATTTTAATTTTGTTTGCTTTTATTGAGTTATCTAAGAAGTAAATAACATTTTAAACATTTAAAAAGATATAAACAAATATAAAATAGCTTTAACTATCAATAAACATATTATAAGAATTGTAAATTAGCAATTTATATGCGAACGGATTTTCATCTAAACATTCTAATATATAATAAATTATCAAAATCTTTCTACTTAAAAATGAATGTAGTTAAAATATTCTTAAAATATCGAAAAATTAAATAGAAACTATTTGGTACTGCCAAGAAAATAAAATAGAATGGCTGAGGCTTTTGAATATTTAATATTACGTTTAATATAGAGTAAAAGTTGATCTTTTAGGCTAAGATTTTAATATATTTAATTCAAAAAACATTGATGTAAAAATACTAATAAAAAGATTAAATTTTTATCGCCTCTTTAATAAATTTGATGTTTTTGTTATTTTATTTCTCCATTAGATTTTTACAATTTTTATATTCAAATTGACTTTGTAAGAAAATGTTATTAGTTAATAATTTGTAAAATCTAATAATAATAGACAAATATAGTTTCTAATATCTATCTGGTCAAGGAAAACTTAATTAAAAAGTTATAAAAATCATTAGAAATACAAAACTTTTTGATTAGAAATTTTTCTTTTTATTTGACAATTAAAAATAGAAAAATTATTTTTCTTATTATCAATCTCATCATACAAAAGCATTTAATTAAAAAGATTAAACTTAAAAAATAACTATATTAGTTATGATCCATGAGCAAATTATATAGCAAACCTATTTATTGTATCAATTATTTTAAATAATGTTTTAATCTAAAATTTATTTGCTTAATTTTTTTTTTTTTAAATAGTATATTTTACTAAAAATTAAGATTAGAAATAAAAACTACTTTTTAAAATGCATGTTAAAGTAGAATATTTAAACAAGGCAATTTATAAATAAAAGATTAATAAACTGTAGAATGTCATATATTTGCACATATGAATATTAAGACTCATTTTTTGAAATTTAATTATTAAATTTTTAAAATAATATTTATTTATTTACTTCTACTGAAAAAATTATCTGAGAATAGCAATATAATATAAAATAATAATATAATTTCTATTCAAAATTTTATTCAATATATATTTATAAGAAATACAAAATTTAATTTTTATATAAAAAAATATTATAAAAGAAATACAAATATGCATATATCATATTAATAAGAAAATTAATGCAAATAGTATGCTGAATAAAGCAATAGAGCTATAAATTGTAGATTAACATTTAATCAATTCATCGAAATAGGCTTAAGTTGAAGGGTTTGTTGGTTTGCAGTTACTTTTAACACAATTAAATGTCTGAGGTTATTTATTTTAGTTTTAATTCATGCAATTAAGACTACACTGATCTAAAGATCTAAGATCACTAATGCAAGCTGTATCACCTTATTAGCAAATTTAATTGTTTTTTACTTTGTCTAATAGATCATATAGACATTGTGGTACTTCTTGACTCGCGTTAACAGTTGTAATAGCAATAATAAGCAATAATGCAATCAATTTCATTTTGGCAAATAATTTCTAATTTTATTTAAATTTGACTTTTTAATTTAATTATAAAAATTATTAACACATTTCCTTTCAATTTATAAACAATCGCTATTTAATTTAATAGATTTTCTTTTAACTTGGTTTGTAATTCAAAAACTTTTTTCTATCTCACTTAGGAAAAAAATTTAATTCAGGTAAATCATAATCTTTAAATTTATTTAAAAAAAGAAAATGTATCCTACTCAATATCAAGACTTCTTTTTTTAATTATATTGAGACACCTTAAATGGTAAATTTAAAGACAAATTTAAGATATTATACTCTTAAATATCTTCTTTTAAAAATTTAGATAAGCATTTTAAAAGTAAATACAACTATTAAACTATACAATCAAAATGAAAAAATAAATTTAATATTTTTTAATAGGCTCCTGATCAAGATAATCCTAATTTGAAGACAATCAAAAATATATTATACTGTAAATGCTCATTAATTAAGGCATTTTTTTCTTAATTTTTTTTTTTTTTTTTCGATTATCTAAATAATTTGATATAGACAATTTTTTCTCAAAAAAGCAACCTGGTCATCCAAATATATTTAATTAATACAAAATTAAAAACTCTTTGTAAATGAGAGATCATTAATTTATAGTTTTTAACAAATATTATTTAAGATATTTTACTTTTCAATTTTATATTTTTATACTAAAAATCATTTTAAATTAAATTTATATTTTGCGATATAAACAAAAATAAAATAAAATAACTTTAACTATCTATCTATCAATAAATATGTATTAAGAATTTATAAACTAGCTTATTCAAGTTGATTAATATGTGAACGGATTTTCATATCAAAAACTCTAATAGGTAATAAATATAAAAATCCTTCTCTTTAAAAATGAATGTAATTAGCTGGTTTTATAATATGGAAAAATTAAATAAATAAAAAAATAATAATTGAAACTGCATTAAAAATAAAATTCAACGACTGAAGCTGAGGTTTTTGAATATTTAATACAAATAACAGTTGATCTTTTAAGTTAAGATTTTAATCTATTAAATTCAAAAAACATTCATGTAAATTATTAATAAAGAGATTAAATTTTTATCACCTCTTTAATAAATTTGACATTTTTGTTATTTATTTTTTCCATGCAAATAATCAATCTATCCTTAACGTATTATTCAAGATATAAATAGATTTTTACAAATTTTGTATTCAAAATGACTTTGTCAGAAAATTTTATTAATATGATAATAATAGACAAATATACCTTCTAATATCTATCTGGTCAAGGAAAACTCAATAAAGAAGCTATTAAAATCAATAGAAATATAAAAATTTTTGATTAGATTTATAAGAATATCTTTTTAAATTTTTCTTTTTATTGACAATTAAAAATAGAAAAATTATTTTCTTATTGTCATTCTAATCATATAAAAGTATTTAATTGAAAAGAGAAAATTAATTACAAAATAACTATGTTATCTCAATTTCAAGTTTACACTACAAACAAACACATAAAACATTTTTGAAAATAGAGTAAAATTTTTAAATATTAAATTTAATTTTTTAAAAAGATAAATTTCTATTGATGTAAATTAACTTTATTATAAATATATATGATTTAGTTTATATAATATATATTAGAATTAACTTCCTAAAATTGTAAATTGGTAATCAAATTAATCTATTTTTATTAGTTAATTTTTATTTTTAGAAAAAAATTTTGAATAAAAAAATTCTTTCAATTTATTATTTTTTATTAATATGTAAATTAACTATAATCACTAAAACTGATATTTAATATGTTATTTCTATTATTTTATTAATTATCTTACAATTAATGACAAAATAAAATCAAGTTTTTAATCTGAAACCTTAACATTAATTATTAGGCAAATTATCAAAGGCATGCTGAATAAATACTGAATAATATATGTTATTTATACTTTTTTTTAATAATATAATTTTTTTAATTATTTCTTCCTACTCTTAAATATTAAATATAATAATTATATATTTTGCATTCAAAATTTTATTTAAAATATATTTATATTAAATTGAATTTTTATACAAAAATCTATTATAAAAGAAATACAAATTAATATGCATATAATCAAATTAATAAGAAAATTAATGCAAACAGCATGCTAAATAAAGCAACAGAGCTAGAAGTTTGTGCTGTAGATTAGCATTTAACCAAATCATCGAAATAGGCTTAAGCTGAAGGGTTTGTTGGTTTGCAATTACTTTTAACACAATTAAATGTCTGAGGCTATTTATTTTAGTTTTAATTTAAGCAATTAAGACTACACTGATCTAAAGATCTAAGATCACTAATACAAGCTGTATCACCTTATTAGCAAATTTAATTGTTTTTTGCTTTGTCTAATAGATCATATACACATTGTGGTACTTCTTGACTTGCATTAACAGTTGTAATAGCAATAATAAGCAAGAATGCAATCAATTTCATTTTGGCAAATAATTTCTAATTTTACTTAAATTTGGCTTTTAATTTAATTATACAAATTATCAACTCATTTCCTTTTAATTTATAAACAATCGCTATTTAATTTAATAGATTTTCTTTTCACTTGGTTTGTAATTCACAAATTATGTCTATCTCATTTAAGAAACAAAATTTAATTTAGGTAATTCATAAAGTCTAAATTTATTTTTAAAAAAGAAAATATATCCTACCCAATATCAAAAGTAAATGTAAAGAGAAAAGTTTAAGATATAATTCACTTAAATACCTTCTTCTAAAATTTTAGTGAAGAACTTTAAAATTAAACTCTATTATTTAACTTGTAAAGTCATAATAAAAAATAACTAAATATTTTTAAATAGGCTACTAATCAAGAAAATCCTAATTAAAGGACAATTAACAAAATATCAGGATAAATATAATTATTTGATATGACAATTTTTTTATCAAAAAAGCAATCAGATCATCAAAAAAATCTAATTAAGACAAAATTAAAAATTTTTTGCGAAAGTAGAGATCATTCATTTTTAATTTCGAACAGATATTTTTAAAAAGATATTTTACTTTTAAATTATATATTTTTATACTACAAATAATTTTAATTGAAATTTTGTTTGCTTTTATTGAATTAATAATATTTTAAATATTTAAAAAGAAATAAAAAATAAAATAACTTTAACTTTTTATAAATATGTGAAATGAATTGTAAATTAGCTAAATTAATATGTGAACGGAATTTCATCAATAATATAATAAGTAATAAATTATAAAAATCCTTCTACTTAAAAATGAATGTAATTAAACTGATCTTAAAATATGGAAAATATTTGGAACTACCATAAAAATAAAATAGAATGGCTGAGTATTTTGAATATTTAATATTATGTTTAATATAAATAAAAATTGATCTTTTTGGCTAAGATTCAATTCAATTAAAAAAATTATTAATGTAAAAATGCTAATAAAGAAATAAAATTTTTATCGCCTCTTTAATTAATTTGACCTTTTTTTATTTATTTTCTCCATAGATTTTTATAATTTCTGCATTCAAAACTATTTTGTAAAGAAAATTTTATTAATTAATAAATTATAAAATCTAATAATAATAGACAAATATACTTTCTAATATCTATCTGGTCAAGGAAAACTTAAATAAGAAGTTATTAAAATAATTAGAAATACAAAACTTTTTATTAGATTTTTTTCTTTTTGATTGACAATTAAAAATAGAAAAATTATTTTTCTTATTATCAATCTGATCATACAAAAACATTTAATTAGAAAGATTAAACTTACAAAATAACTATAATAGTTATGATCCATGAGTAAATTATATAGCAAACCTATTTATTGTATCAATTACCGTAAATCCTCATAAATTCTCACCAGCATAAATTTTCACCATATTTTCTGAATATTTATAAATAAATTTTTTAATAAAACAGATTGATTATTCCATACATATATATGAATAATATTTTTAAATTATTTTATTTTTATTTAATTTGGCGATAAAAATAAATTTGTTATTCTAAATTAAGAAAAATTAAAAGATAAAATTAAATTATCTATTTTGATTAAATTACTGGTGTCTATTGATTATAATTAAATTTATCTGGTCAGGTAGCTATTTAGAAATATTATTTGTCAATTACAAATTATGAATTAAAATTAAATACTTAATCTTTATGGGCTAGTTAATTCTACTATTTATTTTCTTCTAAAATATCTTTTAAAGTTTATAGTTTTAACTTATCCCTCATTTTAAATAAATATATAAATGCATTTTTTTAATAACCATTTTTTAAAAATTATAATTTTGTTTTAACTTACTTTAAACTAGTCTTACAATAAATTAATTAATTGTAAATTTTATTAAAGTAATTAAAGCATATTTCTCAGACTCAAGTAAATATTTACTTAATGTAAGAGTCATCATACCCATAATAAAAACCTTACAAAATCACATAAAAAAGTTATATTGGTTAATATAAAATATGCCTTAATTTATGTAGCTTCATTTTTCATCAAACTTATTTAATTTAAAAAATATTTTAAGAAGATAAACTTAAATCAAATTTTAGTTTAAAGAAATCGGAATGTTGTCTATAAAAGATATATTTTTTAATTTTGTAATTTTATATTTTAACTTACATTAATTTTTAATTACAAGATTATAAATCTTAACTTACATTATTTGTTATTAAGAACTATGAATGAACTTTATTTAATTTTGTCTTTTAGATCGAAATAGATGATGACTTTAGTATTAAAAACAAATATTTAAAAATATTCATTTAAATTTTTGCAGTGATTATAAAACCGAGAGATTTTGAGCCAACTATTTATGATTATTAAATTAATAATCAAAACATTTTTAAAATAAGTAAATTACTATAAAAATGAAATTAATTGCCCTTTTACTTATAACTGCTTTAGTATCTGTGAATGCTTCTGATGAACCTCCAAAATGCTATACAGATCTTATGAATAAATTATAGTAAGGTCAAGTCTGCAAATAAGGTGATACTGATTGCATTACAGCTGTCTTATCATTAGAAAAATGTGCTTATAATTGTGAAGATTAATATTCTGACAACCTCTCCTAGACTATCTCCTGTGTTTAAGCTAATTGCAAATCTTCTAATACTTAGGCTTAAAGCTTTTTAGATGAAGTAATAAAATGTGCAAATTCTAGCTAGATTGTTTTATTTAGCATGTTGGTTGCATTAGTTTTCATAATAATCTGATTTGGTTTATGATTAATTAAATACATAAATTAATATATATTTTTTATAAATGTATTTATTTATTTATATATTTAATTTAATATTATTACAAAATTCATAGATAAGATTAATTTCTCATTTTAAAATTAAACTGGTAATTAATTATGAGTTTTTTAAAAAAATATACTGTCAATCGTAATTTATTATTAAATAAGAAAACAACTTTCGTTTACCTCAGATTGAATAAAAAAATATTTAACTTAAGGGTATGATTTTGGTGTTAGGCTTGGAATTAAAAGTAAAGAATTATGATATATAAATACAACTTTATAAAAACAAATAAAACATTTTACTTTAAATTATAAATTTAATTTAACCATAAAATTCAAACTATTAACGTATTTTATTAATCTAATTTACAGCGTATGTAGAATTAAATTTTTACATCTTAGTATAAAAAATAGTTTAATTCCTTAAAGTGCTTTAATATCAAGAAATCCGAGATAGTATAGTGGTTAGTATTCCTGCCTGTCACGCAGGAGACCCGGGTTCAATTCCCGGTCTCGGAGCTTTTTTTAATTTTGTTTTAATTAGAGTAAAACATGAAACATCATTAAATATATATACCAAATTATATTAATTCAATTATTTTTAAATTTGATAAATTTACAGCCTTCTTCAATGCTTTAGTAGATAAGTATCTTTAAATTTTTTTAATAATTCACTTTTTCATTAAATAAACTAATAATTTTCTAATAAATAATTGTTTTATACAATTTAACTAAAAACATTAAATCCTATTTTACTATATTAATATGTCAATATGAGTTTGACTTTATTAATTATTAAATAGATATAAAAAATTACTCATTCTTATTAAAAGATGAAAAATTTAAATTATTAGTAATTTTTTCCCTCGAACAATTCAAATTTTAAATCACAATTTGCTGTGCTTGCTTCTTAAAAATTAAATATAGAATGCTTTGTAAAAATCTAATTTTTTTTTGGATATAGGAAATTAAAAATTTTATATAAAAATTCAATTAGTAAAAAATAGTTAAACTATTAAAACTAGAATAAGTGAAATAAATAAATAAATTAAAATAATACAAAAAATTTAACTTTAACAAGAAATAGATAGATATCTATATAAAATAAATTTTAGAATATAACCTATTTATTCTTTTAGAAAAGAATTTTTTATATTTCCTTATTAATTTGTATCATATGATCAGGAATTTGATTTTTAATTATAATTGTCTATACTAAATAATATAAAACAAAAGTTTTAATTAAGAAACATTACTTCATCAAAAACTGATCAGCAAAATAAACATTAAATAGCTATTTGTTTATAACTTTTTTATTTAATTTTTCTGGCCAAATTAAAAATATGTAAGAATTGATTTTCTATACTACTATTCAAAACAATTTCTTTAGCTTTTTTGTGAAAATAAAGTTTAAAAAATTATTAATCAACTATTTAAGTTTATTTAATGTTGTTTAATTTAATATTTTTCTTAAATTTTTTACATTTTTCATAATTTTTTTAAATGGATCAATAGACATTTGAATATTTGAATGTCAAATTTTGATTAAATTAAGCTTAATTATTATTTAATTCATTCAGCAAAATAGTATCTATAGGAAGAAAAAATTAGGAATCATATAAAAATAATTATCTCATTAATTAAATAGCATATACTAAACATAAAATAATTTTTACAGGAATGTTTAGTCCTATTAATTTCCATTCTACTTTACAAGTTGAATAAGAATTTTTAAAATAATTTAAAATTAGTGAGAAAGCTTGTTATAATTTATTTTCTTATATCAAATAGATTACAAATTTATTATTAATAGCTTAATTTCTCTTAAGTGATTTTAAAAATTAAGAGCAAATTAAGATTTTCATAATTATTAAATTAAAAAAAATAAGTAAAAAAAAAACTTGTATTGCAAATGAAATTGTTAGCCTTTTTAATAGTTATTGTTTTAGTAACTGTGAATGCAGACAATTCACTTTCACCTATGCAGTGCTTGGGTCTTTTGCTCAAAATTAAAACGGGTTAAATTTGCTAAGAGGGTGATAAAGATTGTACTGATGCTCTAATACCATTTAATTAATGCATGGAAAATTGCGACTAACAATCTACTGAAACAACACAATATGTTTATTGTGTAGAAAATAACTGCAAATCTACAAATCCTACAATTTAAAGAGCTACTAATGATTTTGTATTTTGTGCTAATTCTGCCCAAGATCCTAGCTCTCATCCTAATCCTAGTTCCAGCTAAAGCTTGATTGTTTTATATAGCATATTATTATCATTACTTTTCATAATAATATGACCTTATATATTAATCAATAAAATATCTTTTATATCTTTATATATATAGTAGATTCTTATATAAATAATTATTTTCAATATTATATTTTTATATATAGTACCCTATGGTACCCTTCCTAATTAAAGGAACCAATTATTTTACCCAGCATAAAACCCAACTTAGAGAGATTACACTGTATTAAAAATTAAGAAGTAGTTATTTCCCTATAAGATTTAATTATTCATAAAATATTCATTAAATCATAAAGAAATATTTATACAAACATAAAAAATAAATTATTAGGAATAATTTTTTAGATAGTTGTTCTGTTTTTAGAAGAAAAAAATCTATCTTGATAAATGATATTAAGAAAAACAAAAGTTCAAATGCCAAAATAATTTTATTTAAGAAGTTGCTATTTTTAAAAAAATAATAGATAAAATATCATATGCATTTAAATAAAATCCAAATTTTACAATTTTGACATAATAGTAATTTCGAATTTTAAATCTAAAAAACTAATTAAAACCCAACCATTAGGATTGAAAACTGTTTAAGTACAAAAACTTGAGTGTAATTATGATTTTAAACTTAAAACAAAATGAAAAAAGTAGAGTTTAAGTTAAACAATTATTACAAAAATTGATAAAAAAATAATCATTTAATTGAGCAAAAAATAATTAATATGATACTATTTTTAATATTTTTTTATTTTATTTTATTACCTAGTTTTTGGCTATAAGTTGTCAAATATTTAATTACATTTTTTTTTAATTTTGATTAAAAAATATGCATGTTGTATTCAAATTAATTTAACAAATATTTTAGAAAAGTAAATATTATATAAATTGAATGTTAGATGATCAGGGTACATATAAACATACACACAAATAAACAAACAAACAAACATACTTGCTTAAAATAGATATTTATTTTTGAAGGATAAATAGATCAGAAAATTAAAAAAAATAATGCAAATAACATGCTAAAAACAGCAATCAAGCTATAATTACATTTTAAGAGAACATCTTTAAAGCATTAAATTGTAGCATTTGAAGTTTGACATTGAGATTAAACACATGAACTAATCTATCTTGAGTTGTCAAAATTAGCTTAACAACCAATAACACATTATTTGAAAGATTTTAAAGCGGCAATACAATCTGTATCGCCATATTAGCAAACTTTACCTTAATCAACTTTATCTTAAAGTTCTTTAGCACATTAAGGAATACCATCATCTGCATGTACAGCTACTAAAACAATAATAAGTAAAAAGGCAATTAATTTCATTTTAAAGTAATTTTTTTTATTTATTTAAATAATAATTATTAATAATTGTTAATCTTCTCATATTTATATAGATAATTATTGAATATTATTTTTTAAGTAAGATACAAGATTTTTCTAATCAAAAACAAAATCTTTTATAAACTTTATAATTTTTTGATTCACTAAATAAAATCGCATTTGTTAGTTTTACCTATCTACATCTTCTATTATAAATATTGTTGAAAGCCTCTTTATTTGATAAATAGCATACTGTTTAGCTAAGAATTATAAAATATTAGATTATTTACCAATATCATAAATATTTGACATTCAAATTTTACCTTAAACATAGTGAAGCTAGTAAATAAATAAATATTGTAAGCTTTGTAGGTAAATTGAATTCTATCAAAAATAAATTAATAAATTTAGTTACTTTTGATAGATAGATATTTGAAATTTAATTTTGTCTTTTTTCAAATCTAATTAAAAAAAGGATATTTTTTCTTTATATCTTCATTTATGCATTAAAATATTCTTATATAAACAAATTAATTGTATTTTTACCAGGGTAATGCTTTTATCATTTTAATTTTCGTTTCTTGAAGATGGATTTTTCGATATGCCTTTATTAAAAAAGATTTTTTTAAATTTTAGATAAGATCCTTAATAGATAGGTGCTTAAATATGTAAATATTTATTGTATATGTTAAACTTTTATGTAAAATTAATAGCTAGATATTCGATATTTAGTTTTGTCTAAAGTAAATTAAATTTGAGCATACACTCACCTAACTAACTATCTAGTCATACATCATAATTTTAATAATTAAGTTAAAATATACGCTTTTTTAGAACATTAAATTAATGCATAATTATTATTGAAAACAAATGTAACTAAAGATTTATTTGTGTTTTCTTAAGAAAGTTTATCTTAGAAGCTTACAAAAACCATTTATTTAAATTTTCTTTATATTGCTTGCCAATTTGCTTTATTTTTATTTAGCTTTTTTTTAATAAATTTTCCATTAAATTAATATAAATAAAAATATGTATGTATCTAACTATCTATAAAACATGTCAATTTTTAAAAAATGCCAAATTTTGATTAAAAGTCAAATAGATCAATCAGTTTTTAATTAATTGATAGATTTTTTAATTTTATTTTTTTCCTGATCAGCTGTTTGGTATTTTTTTAAAGGATAAAATAAATCAAAATTAAAAAGTTCTAATTTAAAGATTAGACTGACTATAGCTAATGTTCTTATTAAAGTGTATGATTAGCTTTAAAGAATATAATGTAATTTTAATTAGAAGAATATTCTTTTTTAAATTTAGTTTTTCTTTTCATGATTATTTAATATTATTTATCAGATTTTTAGCTTTTACTTATGTATAGATTATTAATTAACAGGCAAATATAAAATAATCAACTTCATTAGATACAATTTCTTTTAGAATAATAATTTTCTTTTAACTAAAAAGCTATGAAATTTATTTATAAACAATAAATACTATTAAACTTTTATAAAATAAAACCTATTTCTATTATTTAAAAAAGAGATAAATCAAATATAAATTTAGAAAAAACGTAAATTTTATTTTATAAATTTCATCAAAAAAGTAAAAATTAAAAATTTTTAATATTTCTAAAGAAAAATAAATAAATAAATATTCAATCACCTAATATTGAAAACTTCTTAGCCAAAATAATTGATCATAATAATGTAATTTATCTAATTTCAAAGTGAAAAGCTATAAAATAGTAGCAATAGTGCTAAATAATTAAAATAAATTTTGATAATTAATTAAAAAATTTTGCTAAATTGAAAATAATTAATGCTACCTATTATTATTTCCTTTTATTTTTCTTTTGGGTTGAGATTTTAGAGTTTTTAGCTTTTATGCATTAAAATAATAAAACTTATTTTTATTTTGATATTAAAATGTATTATATTTAAATTAATGTTGCAAATATTTTATAAAAGTAGTAAGTAAGGAAATGTTTAAATTACAACTAAAAATAATTAATTATTATATAAATTGAACATAAAAGAATTAGTAAGTAAAGAAAATACATATATTTTTAAAAACATATTTGTATAAATAGATATTTATTTATCTTTTGAAGATATATGCATAGATAGATTGATAAAATCTGACAATTATGTAAATTAAGGCAAACAGCATAGTAAATAAAGTAATCAAGCTATAATTTGCACATTTTAACAAATCATCTTTAAAGCTTAAACTGATGCAATTAAAGTTTGACATTAAGACTAAACACATTAAATACCCTATTACTAGCTATAAGGAGGGATAACAAATTAAATAACTTATTTCCAAATTTTACTCTCTTAAAAAATTATTATTATAAAATTGAATGATAAATGACTTTGCAAGGAACGCACATACATATATTTATATAAATATACATGTATAAAATAGATATTTATCATTTAAAGCATAATTGTATAGATAGATAGATAAATCGATAAAATCAGACCATTATGTAAATTAAGGCAAACAACACACTAAATACAGTAATCAAGCTATAGTTTGCACATTTTATCATATCATTTTTAAAGCTTTAAACTGAAGGATTTGAAGTTTAGCATTCAGATTAAAGACATTAAATACCCTCTTATTAGGTTTTTATTTTTTCTGCACAAGATCCAACACAATCTGTGAAAGATTTTAAAGATGCAATACAATCAGTATCACCTGCTTTGCAGACTTTACCTTACTCAATTTGGTTCTTAAGATCTTAAACGCATTTTGGAAGATCATTATTTGCATTAACAGCTACTAAAGCAACAAAAAGCAAAAAGACAATAAATTTCATTTTAATATTTTTAATTTGTATTTTTTTTATTTATTTAATAATTATTTAGTTTTTGCTTATCATCTCATAATTTTTATACATACAAACTGAGAACATTTATTAAATGAACTTCTTATAATTTAGGATTTTTAAATTTTGTAGCAATCAAATTTAATAAAAAAAACAATCATTTAATTTCTAACTATCAAGTAATATTTTTAAAATAAAATACAAAATTATAACAAAGTATTTTATAAACTATTTATTTTGTTATTCTTTAAATAAAATTATATTTATTTTTTGATATATACAATTTTCCTTATTAGATAAATATATTGCTATCCTGCAAGGAGATTATTTTATTTTATTTGTAAATAAAATTACTTATTAAGTATTTTGTAAGGTTATTTTTCTATGATGTCTTAAGTCTTGTTGGATTTTATGTAAATATTATCATAACTATTTGGCGAAGCATTAAACATATTCAAAACAAGAAAGTAAGTAATTTAGTAAATAATTTGTGTAATTGTATGTACTTTTTAACTGAGTTCTATTTAAAATATTGATAAATCTGAGGGATTTAGGATAAGATTTAATATGTAGATTTTAGAAATTTAATTTTGTCTTATCATAATTTAATTTGAAAAGAAATATTTTTTCTAATCTACTCTTAATCTTACATTAATTAATAAATGAAATTATTCATTAAGTTTTTTGTAATTTAATTTTACTAAAAAAATAAATAAAATCTGGATTATTTGTTAATATAATCATAATCAAAATTAACACATTCAAAAAAAAGTAAGTCAGTAATTAATTAATTAATTTTTGTAAATTGCATTTTATCTGATTTTAAATTTTAATAAATTTGATAAATTTTTGGATAAGATTTTAATAGGTAGATCTTAGAATTTTTTTCTAATCAACCCTTGGTCATATATCAAAATTCTATCATTAATAAATGAAGTTATTTATATTATGTATTTTTTCAGGATATTTATTAAAAATACAAAATCTGGATTATTTGTTTGTATAATGAATGATAAAAATTTGGCTAAAAAATATATAATTGGAATTATATGTTATTATAATGCATTCAAAAAAATGTAAGTAAGTAGTGAATTAATTTATTTTTGTAAATTACATTAACAAATTATCTGATTTCATCAAACCCTGATCATACATTAATTAGTTAAATTATTTATTAAATATTTTACAAGGTTATTTTACAAGAAATATCAATAAAATTTGGATTATTTGTTAATATAATCATAATCAAAATAAACACATTCAAAAAAGAGTAACTAAGTAAGTAAATAAATTTTGTAAATTGCTTGAACTAATTAGCTGATAACTAACTATTAAAATTATTAATAAATTTGATAATTATTTGATAAGATGTAGATTTTAGAAATTTAGTTTTGTCTCATCCTAATTTTAATTTGAAAAGACAATTTTTTTCTAATAAATACCTAATCATATACATTTTACTAATTACATCAAAGCGCTCTTTTTTAAAGTTTTAAATAAGAATTCAAATTAATACTATTTTTAAAAACGAATTCAATAAAAATAAATAATTAATTTTTATTTCTTACATCAAATTTTATTTATTTATTTATCTCTCTTGCTCTTCTTAGATAAATTTTATATAAAATATTTTTATTTTATAAATATTACTACATAACATATATTTCTTAACATATTTGTCATAAATAAATTTCAATTATTAAGTTTTACAAAGGCTATTTTAAAATAAAAATGAAATCTTAGATTAAATATTAATAATATTAATATTATAAATTAAATTATACATTTAATAAATAAATATATTTAAAGCAAGTAAATAAATAAATGAATAAATAATATATTTATGTATTCTATACTATAGGGTACTGCTTTTTAAGGTTGTACACTGAAATTTAAATAAATAAAAATATTAAAATAAGAGGGGATTACTTTATTTGAAACATCTGTATGTATAATCACTAAATGGTGAATCTTTTAATTTTATAATCAGAATAAATTATGAATATAACTAAATCTTAATCGACTAAAAATTAAAATTAAAATAGAAATAAAAAATATTTTCATATTATTTAACACAAATTAATTTTTGATATTATTTTATTTTTATTAAATAAATTTTAATTAACAAATAAATAAATATTTATGCAAGAGAATTTAGATTCAAAATTAATTTAGTATTACAGCAAAATATCTTAAAATGGTAAAGATAAAAAATAGAAAGAATCTCAAATATTTCTATAATTGAAAAAAATTTCGACTCAATTCCCACTTGTAGTTAGTTAGTTAGTTAGTTAGTTAGTTAGTTAGTTAGTTAGTTAGTTAGTTAGTTATAAAAATTGATTATTATTTATTTTTATATCAAATATTTATTTAACTTCTTAATTCTTCAAACCATAATTGATAAATGAAATCATTTTAAAAAATAAAATATTAATTTAACTTTTAAATAAATAAATTATGGGTTGAAGAATTAAGAAGTTAAAAAAATATTTGATGTAAAAATAAACAATCAATAATAAATTGTTATAACTAACTACAAGTGGGAATTGAGTAGAAATTTTTTTGAATTATAAATAGAACAGAATTAGTCATAAAATTTAAATGAAAAATGTAAAATATTTAATAATTTTAATATATTTATTTTATGTGTAAATTAGTTATTCACCAAAAGATTATACTGAATAAAAAGAACATGTACATTTCATCAATCATTTTAACATTCATTTAAAAATAAAATATTATGAATAAATTTTTAGATAGTTACAGCTCTATTAAAAAAAAGCAACCTACCTATCTTATTAAAAAATATTAAGAAAAACAAAAGTTAAAATGGCAAAATAATTTTATTTAAAGAGGACTATTTGCTATTATTTTAAAAAAATAGATAGATATATTTTAATATGAATTTTTCAAAAACCTATATTTTTTCGTTGTCATAAAATTAATATCTGAATTTCTTAAATCTCATCAAAAAAATAAAAACTTAAATTTATGCTATTTCTAAAGAAAACTAATTAACATTCAGTCAGTCAGTCACAAAGAGATTGAATACTCCTTAAGTAAAACTAATTGATCATAATAATTAAATTTAACTAATTCCAAACTTAAAATCTATAAAAATAGTAGGTAGCAATAGAGCTAAATAGTCGTTTTAAAATTTGATAAATAAATAATAAATTTATACTTTTGAGAAAATAGTTAATGCAACTATCTATCTATTTATTTTTATTTCCTTTTTTACTATTGGATTGATGATATTTATTTTAGAGTTTTTAGCTGTAAAGTTTAAAAATGATAACAATTTTTTAATTTTGATATTAAAAATGTATTATATTCAAATTAATGCATATAGCAAACAAGGGAAATGTTAGAATACAATTATAATTAATTAATTAATTAATTAATAATTATATAAATTAAATGATAAATGAATTTTCAAGCAACGCACAAAAATATATTGATATAAAAATGCTTAAATAAAATAGATATTTATCTAATTAATCATATATGAATAAATAGAAAGATTAAATCAGATCATTATGTAAATTAAGGCAAACAGCATGCTAAATACAGTAATCAAACTATAATTTGCACATTTTATCAAATCATTTACAAAGCTTTAAACTGTAGGATTTGAACTTTTGCATTAAGATTAAACACATTAAATACCCTATTATTAGGTAGTAGATTAACCTTAACAATTATCTAAACAAGTTTTTAAAGATTTTAAAGCATTGATACAATCTGTATCACCTTCTTTGCAGACTTTACCTGATTAAAGATTATTAGCAAGATCTTTAGCACATTATGGAACTTCGTCATTTGAATTTGCAGCTACCAAAGCAACAAAAAGCAAAAAGACAACTAATTTCATTTTAATATTCAATTCTTAATTTATAAATTTTTTTATTAATTTAATAATTATTTAGTTCTTGTTTATCATCTCATAATTTTTATACATGCAAACTGAAAATATTTATTAAATGAATTTTACTAAATTTTGTATCTATCTATCTATCTATCTATCTATCTATCTATCTATCTATCTATCTATCTATCTATCTATCTATCTATCTATCTATCTATCTATCTATCTATCTATCTATCACATTTGATAAAAACAGTGATTGATCATTCAATTTATAATTATCAAATAATATTTTTTATATAAGATACAAAATTATAAAAATCTTTTATAAACTTTTTAATTTTTTATTCCATAGATAAAATTATATTTATATTTTATATTTTATAATTAAAATTATTTATTAAGTATTTTAGAAGGTTTATTTTACTAAATTGTATAAAATATTGGATTAAATGTAAATATTTTCATAACTATTTGGAAAAACTTTAGACATATTCAAAGCAAGTAAATGAATAATTTTTGTTAATTGCAAGAACATATTAGCTTAGTTCTATTAAAAATAGAAAAAATTTGATGAATTTTTTGATAAGATTTTAATAGGTAGATTCTACAAATATTTTTAATCAACATTTAATCTTTCATTAAAATTTTACGATTTGTAAGTATATGAAATTATTTATTTATATTAAGTATTTGTTAATATTATTTTGCTAAGAAACATAAACAAAATCTGGATTATTTATTAACATAATGATAATTAATTATTCCACATTTATTCGAAAAAAAATAAGTACATAATTTTTTTAGATTGCAAGAACATTTTAGCTGAGTTCTATTAGAAATTTTGATATATTTTTGATAAGATTTTGTTTGTTTATCATAATTTAATTTCAAAAGATAATTTTTTCTAATCAACCGTTGATCGTACATTAAATAATAAAAGAAATATGTGATAATTGATTATTTGTTAACATAATGATAATTAATTATTTCACATTCATTCGAAAAAAAATAAGAAATTAATTTTTTTAAAATGCATGAATTTATTAGCTGAATTCTAATAAAAATATTAATAAATTTGATAGATTTTTGATAAGGTTTTATTTAATATTTAGATTTTATAAATTTAATTTTGTCTTATCATAATTTAATTTCAAAAGATAATTTTTTCTAATCAACCAGTTGATCGTACATTAAATAATAAAAGAAATATGTGATAATTAATTTTTAAGGTTATTTATTTACTAAGTAATATAAATAAAATTAATTATTTACACATTCATTTGAAAAAAAGTAAGAAAATAATTTTATTAAATTGCATGAATATTTAGCTGAATTCTATTAAAAATATTGATAAATTTTATAGATTTTTGATAAGGTTTTATTTAATATTTAGATTTTATAAATTTAATTTTGTCTTAATTTAATTTCAAAAGACAATTTTTTTCTAATCAACCCTTGATTAACATTAAATAATAAAAGAAATATGTAAGTATTATAAATAAAATTTGGATTATTTGTTAAAATAATTATAATTATTTCATATTCAAATATATTTAAAACCTATTCGAAAAAAAGTAAGTAAATAATTTTTTTTAATTGCATGAACATTAGCTGAGTTTTATTAAAAATATTGATAAATTTGATAGATTTTTGATAAGATTTTATTTAATATTTAGATTTTAAATTTAATTTCGTCCTATGATAATTTAATTTCAAAAGGTAATTTTTTTCTAATCAACCCTGGTCATACAATAAAGAATAAAACAAATATTTATTAATTATTATATAAGGTTATTTATTAAGAAATATAAATAAAATCTGGATTCAAATAATCAAAATCAAAAAAAAGAAATTTATATGAAAAATTAGTAAATTAATTTGATAAAATTCTGATAAGATTTTAATGCATTGATTTTATAAATTTAATTTTGTCTTATCATAATTTAATTTGAAACAAATTTTTCCTAATCAGCACCTAACTATATATTAAAAAGTTTATTAATTGCATTAAAATATCTTTTATAAAGTATTAATTAAGAAATTAATTATATATCTTTATATGCATAATCTTTATAAAATAGATATTTAATTTTTATTACTTAAATAAAATTTTGCTTATTCTTTGTTTGTTTTTTTGTCTCTCTTCCTCATCTTCAATATACAATTTTTTGATTTAATAAACACCCTATCATGATACAATCAATATATTTCTTCAAATATTTATCATAAATAAATTTTAACTATTAAATTTTAAAAGGCTATTTAAAATAAATATGAAATCTTGGATTAAAAAATAAATATAAATATTTAATATGAAATTAATTATATAATAAATATGTTTAAAATAATTAAATAAATAATTTCATTAAATTACATGATTAACAGACTTGTGAGTTCTATTAAAAATTAAACAATATATTGTAGGTTTTCATAAATTAAGGTATCTTAAATACCTCTATTTTTTTACCCTTAATAAGAGGTTTTTATAAATCAAAAATTTTAGGTATTACAGATTTTAAGACTTGAACTAAATAGTAGAATACAAGGTAAATCTCATAAAAAAAGCTATATCAATCAAATTAATAACTTAAATTTTTACTAAAGCACTTAGATAAATAAATACATATTTTATTTATTTAATTAATTTTTTTGTTTATTTCAATGTAAAAATATTTCAAAAAAAAATTTTAAAAAAGCTCCGAGACCGGGAATTGAACCCGGGTCTCCTGCGTGACAGGCAGGAATACTAACCACTATACTATCTCGGATTTGATGAAAGTTTACTAAAATATAAATTGTTCTTCATTTGCATTTTTATATAAAATAGTTAACAAATACTATTTTAATTTAACTAAATTTGAAAATCATTTTATTTTAAAGTTAAATAAAATAAATTCATTCAGATATTACTTTATGAATGTTATAATAGATTGATTTAATCATAATATTTTAGATATAGTAAGTCTATTTGATTTTATTATTTTTTTTTTAGTAATTCCATCCTAGATTATTTGCTTTAATTAAATAAATATTATTTGAGTTTATCCTTTAAAAAATTTTAAAAAACAGAATGAATTATTTTAATACAAAATTTAAGTAAAATTTGTTCTTAGACTAAAACTATTAATTTAATAAACACTGAATTTGAATTAAAATAATTAATTAAATACATTAGTATGAATTCAATATATTTTGAATAGGCTTATTATCAACATTTTCTTATGTTTTTCTTGTCTAATTGTTTAATTATTTTATAATAATATTAATCTTTATTTAAAATATTTCAATAGTTGTTGTTAATTCTAAAAAGTTTTTTTTTTAAGTTTAAATATTTTGAGTTATTTTCTAAGCTATTTTTTAAGTAAAATAGAATTCAAACTTTAACTATATTATAATTAGATTATGTATAATTTTTGATAACATTTCAAAAATTAAAAGATAAAACTGATGAAGATTGAGCAAGATTTCAAAATAAATTAATTCAGCAAACAAAAGAGATTAATATTTTTTCTATATTTAAACTTGATTTCATCGATATCAAATTCAAATTCAATAATAAAAATAAGTGTGAAAACGTTTACAGTTTGGAATAATTTTAACATTTTTAATTGAAAAATTTAATAACTAAAGTATTCTTTTTAATTTAACTCAATATTTATATCAATAAATTAAATATTAATGAGTTTGTTATTTGACATATTTTATTCAAACTTAATTAAATTATATTATTAAACACATCCTTTATTTTACATAAAAAATCAAAACAAAAGATAATATAAAAAAGATTTAATTAAAATTTCAATTTTGATACTTCCAAATAGAATGTTTTCGAAAATGTGTAAGAAAAATTTATTTACCCTGAGTCTTCATTTTTTACGTTCAAAATTTGACAAAAGGTTTTCAATTTTCAAAAAAATGAAAAACCTTGATAAAATCATAA